CTGAGAAGAGACAAATGCGAAATTAAAGAGACAGAAACAGAATTAAAATAAGGATGATGCATAAATACCTCCCTTCCCCCACAGGGACTGGGGTGGGTTAATTATATCTAAAATACATGTAATCAGGTTAATGACCCGATGCTCTTTAGTGTAAACTGTAAAGTACATTCACACATTCTCACATACATACGTACATACAATCATCACATACTTGCATGCTTTAATACAATTATACATACAGATATAAATAAACAAGTAAACAAACATATAAATAAATATATAAATATATACATTATATGCATATACATTATGTATATATACACACGCACACACATATATGTATATATACAGACACACATCCATACACCAGATGTCCAGGAACCTAAAGAAGAAAATAAATAGGAATAGAAAAAGGGGAGAGGGAGAGGGAGAGGGAGAGGAAGAGAAAAAGGAAGAAGAGAAAAAAGTAAAAGAAAAGAGAGAGAGAGAGAGAGAGAGAGAGAGAGAGAGAGAGAGAGAGAGAGAGAGAGAGAGAGAGAGAGAGAGAGAGAGAGAGAGAGAGAGAGAGAGAGAGAGAGAGAATGATAGAGGAAAACAAAAACAAAAAAAAAAAAAAAAAAAAAAATATATATATATATATATATATATATATATATATATATATAGAGAGAGAGAGAGAGAGAGAGAGAGAGAGAGAGAGAGAGAGAGAGAGAGAGAGAAGAGAGAGGGAGAGAAGAGAGAGAGAGAGAGAGAGAGAGAGAGAGAGAGAGAGAGAGAGAGAGAGAGAGAGAGAGAGAGAGAGAGAGAGAGAAGAGAGAGAGAGAGAGAGAGAGAGAGTCAGTCCCTCTGAAGCTGAAAGGAAACGAGATCAGATGGAATAGATAATGAAGACAAGACACAGCGAAACGCGCGTCAGGCCGAGTTGAAAGGCTTCTAAAGCGGGACGCACAGGAGACGGAAGTCACTTCTTAACGCATACGCATACGCACACATACATGCCCATGGACATATATCCAAATAAATTCACATAAAAAGTATGTATCCATTGCCTTTTCCCTACCTATCATCTCTTTGATAATGTTGTCGTTAAGTACATCTGACTTCTGTAACTGGACCACCGATTATCAGTTATCATAATTGTGTGCGTGTGTGTGTTACACACACACACACACACACACACACACACACACACACACACACACACACACACACACACACACACACACACACACACACACACACACACACGCACGCACGCACGCACACACACACACACATATATACATATTTCTGATACGTTATCACTGTGGCACACACTCTTGACACCTCCGGTGAGGGGAAAAGACCCCAGGGCCATGTTTCATCCCACCCTTCGACACGAATCTAGATTTCCCACTCATCATAACACGAGGGATAATGCTTGCAAAGAAAAGGGAGGAAGAGAAAGAGAGAGAAAGTAAAGTAAAAGAAAAAATCACACACAAAAGACAGTCCGTGTTGGCTGACCAGCAAGGCTTGTACATCACCCGCCGGCTCCCTCGCGCCAAGCACATGAGCCCCATCACCCAAAGCAGTTCAGCCACTCTTGGCTCCATCCCCTACCCCCATTCCTTCCACCCAACTCTCGACCCTCTCCCCTTTTCCCCACCCCCTCCTTCTGCTCCTACTTGCCCTCTATTCTTCCCACACTCCCCTTCTTTGCTCATCCTCTCACTATCTCTTACCCACCCCTCTGCGACCTCTACCTCTCCCACATTCCCCTTCTCCCGTCCCTCTCCCTCTCCCTCCCTCCCCGCCTCCATCACGACCGATCTGTTGGGCGATATTGCATCGGACAAGTGATCGGAACATCCCCCCCCCTCCTCGCCTTACCCACGACTATGCAATGCAGTGGTCTCTCCAACCCTCCCCCTTCCCTCCTGGTCCCCACACCCCCCAAAAAATCCGTCTTCAACCCCCAACTCCCTTCCCTTATACCCGTTAACTCATTCCTCCTGCCCCTTTTCCCAATTACCTACTGACCTTTTCTCTCCCCTTCCCCTTCCCCTTTTCCCTTCCCCTTTCCCCTCCCCCTTCCCCTTCCCCTCCCCCTTCCCCTTCCCTTTCCTCTCCTCCCTCCCCTTTCCTTTATCCCCTGTTCCCTTCCTCCTCTTCTTCCCCTTCCCCTTTCCCCTCCCCCTTCCCCACCCGCAACAGCACAACTCTGGTTTATTGTTCCCCTTTCCTGGCCTGAGCGCCGGATTTTTATACATCAACCGATACCTGTCAATCGTTTTTTTTGTTTTGTTTTTTTTGAGGGGGGGGGGGTGGAGGTTCAGGCATATAGTGAAGAGCTTTCGTTTAACTCTTTTGTTTTCAATCACTAGTTGTACCGTGTGTTTAATTTCATTCTGTCGGATATAAAAACGAGCAGGAAGGCGACGGCGGTTTTGGGCCCGGAAATCGCTCTTTCCTCCGCGCCCCAACGTGCCGTCCTCCGCGCCTCGTCCCTTTGCGAAAACGGGGGCGGCGGCGTCGATAAGACAGGGAAATGGCCTTCGATGCATGCTGGTCACGTCTCTCTTTATGGCAATGCGGTAGTCAGGAGCACGGCGGACTGCGTCTGTTTTCCATCTCTGTTTCCTTATTTCCAAACACACATACATTCATAAACATACAAACAAGCACATAGACTATATAAGTATCTCACATACATACATACATACATACATACACACACACACACTCAACAATCCCTCCTCTCGTCCACAAATGCAGAGTCCCCCTCCCCCTCGTCCGCGATTTGAACCCCCCAGGACAACAGCCTCCTCCCCACCCCAATTTCCCCATGACAAACCAAACGTCACCTCCTAACCCCGACCCCACATACTATACCCTTAAACCCCATTCTCCCAAGACATACCCACCCACGAACTTATCTCCTCCCCAGCCCTCAGTCCCCGATAAAATACCCTAAAACCACCCCAACCCCCTTTCCCAATGACATCCCCAACCCAGCAACGGACCTCACTCTAACCCCTAACCCCTCCCCCCCCTAACCCCCACACCCCATCCTCTCCTTAACACAGGTGTTTCATTCCCCGATCGAATAAATAAACGATTAGATTTTGATTAAAAGGGATTTGATTAAGGCCTGGCAGTCGATTCGCAGCGGAGCTATCCGGGACCTGATTCTGATTCTGTTAGACACTGCTTACTTTGCGTCCCTTGCTGATTTTGTGTCGCTGCGCCTCTGTTGCGGGAAGTTGAGTTAGAATAAATTGTATTTGCGTGTACCGTTCGTCTGGACTTTCCCTTATGTGTGGGTTTGTGTTATCTCTCTATACACACCATTTTTGATGATGGTAACAATAATAACAACAATAATGATAATGATGATAATAATAATAATATAAATAATAACAACATTATTAATAATAATAACAACATTATTAATAATAATAACAACATTATTAATAATAATAACAACAATGATCAGTACCAAAATAATCATCTTTACCAATACATTCGGTAAAATAATAATAACAACAACGATAATCATAATGATCATAATGATAAAAATACTGTCACAAAAACAAAATAAATCCCTTCGCGTCATACATCACGGGACAGGAATTTCGCTCTCGTTTCTTTCTTTCTTTTACGTCCCTCCCAGCATTTCCCTCCAATTACGACTAATGATTTCCCGCGCCAGACGAAAAAAACTAATTTTGTATCAAAATGACCAATCCTTAGAGCGTGCGTGGGGGGGGGGGGTAGATGCCGGAAGGGGGGAGGGAGGGGGGGTCATAACTCATCACTGAAAGCTAAGTTAGCGGTGAAAAAAATAATTTCTTCTTCTACTTCCTCTTATTTCTTCATCTTCAGCTTCATCCTCTTCATCTTCATTATCTTTTTCCTCCTCCTCCTCCCTCTCCTCTTCTTTTTCCTCCTCCTTCTCTCTTTCCAGATGTTTTTTCCTCCTCTCCCCCCCTCCCCCTCCCTTGTCGCCGTGTCCCAATTTCGCATTCCAGAGACCGAGGAATAAAAATTCGCTCTATCAAACAACATTTATTCATGGCCTTTTATCGCCCCGAGGTCGTGTGTTTTCCTCATGAGATCGGCGCTAAGAAGGGGGAAAGAGAAAGGATAAGAGGAAAGAGGAAGAGGAGGAGGAGGAAAGGGGGTGAGGAGGAGGTGGAAGGGGGAGGACGAGGAGGAAGAAGGAGAGAGGAGGTGGAGGAGGAAGAAGGGAGGAGGTGAAGGAAGGGGAGGGTGAAGAAGGGGGTAAGAGGAGGAGGGGAAGAAGGGGAGGAAAATGAGAAGAAGGAGGAGGAGGAGGAGGAGGAGGAGGAGGAGGAGGAGGAGGAGGAAGAAGAGGAGGATCATAAGGTGAGGAGGAGATGGAAGGGGGGAGGAGAAAGAAAAGGGAGGAGGAGGAGGACAAGGATGGAGAGGAGGAGTAGGAGGTGGGGAGGAGGAAGAGGAGGTGGGGATGTGGAGGGGGAAAGGGATGGGGAGGAAGAGGAAGGGGAAAAAGAGGAGGAGTAGGAGGAGGGGGAGGTGAGGAGGAAGAAGGTGAGGGTGGTGAGGAAGGAGGAGGAAGAGGGATAAGGTGGAGGAGGAGTAAGGTGGAGGTGGAGGTAGAGGAGGAGAAGTAGGAAGAGGAAAAAAAAAACAATTAAAAAAATATCAATAAGAAGAAAAACACAAAAATTAGAGGAAGAGATGCAAGAAGAGGAGGATGAAAAACGGGGAGAGATGCAGCAGGAGGAACACGAGATAAAGACTTAAGTTCAAAATGAAAAGAAACATTCAAGAGACCAGAAAGGAAGGAGTAGGGAGGAGTAGGGAGGAGTAGGGGGGAGTAAGGGGGTAGTAGGGAGGCAGTTGTCAGGCACGACTACACCCCCCCCCCATAACCTGTTGCCAACTCACCGAGCTCGCCTCTAATTTCATCTTGCCTCTTTGATGGCCTTATAACTTGCCCACTCCCGGCGCTCCTTTGCTCGCTTTTTTGC